TTTAGAACTAAGATTCCAAATACTTGCTAGTTAACTGTCAGGATCTTTGTCATGTGTAGCTGCTGAGGTATAATTTGCTGTTCCTTCCTGTCATGTTCAGAATATAGCTTATTCAACAAAACTGTGATGGTCTGAGCTTAATTGTTGTGCAACAGGGCAATTTTACATATAGCGTAATCTCAAGTTGTGTAATATTCTCTCTCTTCTACCCTTGGTGACTTCTTGATTTATTTTCCAAAAATATATCCCAAAAGACCCTTGGAAAGGATTTCAAATAGAAATTATTTCTGGAGCTCGTTTTCATGATTCTCTAAAAACATGATCTATTGAGAACAAGAAATTTATTATTAACTTTTATTGTCAGTTTTCATTAAGGGATTTTCCCTCAAGTTGTAGTTCCAGGAATTAGCCAGCAGGGGGAACTGTTTGACCAGTTACAATTGTACAAGCTTGGTTCCCACTTGTAGAGTTACTGATGCATATAGGTATTTATTGCTTTTAAACAAATTACGTGTCTGAAGATCCTTGTTTATTGACAAATTCTTAGGAAAAAATTATCTTGTAACTGATAGCATAGCAATTAAGAAATTGGCTATGGAGTCAGACAGATCTGAGTTTGTCTTAGATGTCACTTGTCTAATTTTCTTCATTTCTCTGAGCCTGTTTCCTCATTTCTTTTTTTTAAGTTTTTTTATTTTTTTTCCCCCAAAACCCCAGTAGATAGTTGTATGTCATAGTTTCACATCCTTCTAGTTGCTATATGTGGGACGCGGCCTCAGCATGGCCAGAGAAGCCGTGCGTCGGTGTATGCCCAGGATCGGAACCCGGGCCACCAGTAGCAGGGCACGCGCACTTAACTGCTAAGCCATGGAGCTGGCCCACGTTTCCTCATTTCTAACTTGGGAGCTATAAAAACTGGTCATTGTTAAATGAGAGAAAGAATCTAAAGCAGTTAGCACTGATTCTGGCATGTTGTAAGTGCTCAGTGAATATTAACTTTTAATAACTTAAAATAATTGGTATAGTCTCCATTATATTATTTTGTAGAATAGTAAAAGAAAGTATAAAAAGGATAATTCACTTACCAAGCTCACATGGAACTGGGCCTGAAACCTGAATGTGCTGTACTCTGCATTATGTTGCTCTGCCATATAAGGATTATAAATAAAAAGAATATAAATATTCGAAGAAGATTGAGACTACTTATATTAGCAACTGTCTATGAAATGAATACATTGCATATTTTTAAATTAAATAATAAATTTTGAGTATTCCAAAACTAGACTATATCTGTAACAAGCAAAACCAAGTTCAATATCTCTTAGAATTAAAAAGAAATCATTCTCTTAGACTAAATATAATTCGCAAGAGAGAAATACTGTAATACCAACTCTTAGGCATAAGAAACTACAAGTTAAAACAGCATCATGGTACCTTTCTTTCCTTTCAGATCAACAAAGATTAAAAAGAATGACAATTTCTCTTTTGATGTGAATGTGGAGAAATGGGTTACTTGTATACTGTTGGTGGGCATGAAAAATGATTTGGCTTTTCTGGAGGGCAGTATGGCAATATATAAGCCAAAAGTTTTAAAAGCAAATGACACCCTTTGATCTAGCAATTCCATTTTCCAGGATTTATTCCAATGGTTTCCAAGCATTTTTGACTAAGTCTCACTCACTATACATGTATACATAAAATTACAAAACTGAAAATTTCACTAAACGTTACTCTTCTTTATGTGATACATCCCAGTTTATTCTGTTTTATTTCATTTTTTTAAAATACTGATTGTGACTCACTAGAGTCATAAGGCACAGTTTGAAAAAACTCTAGTTAATACTGAGAAAATAATAGAACAAATGCATAAAAAATGTATGTATATTACATCATAAAAACCCTGAGACTACAAAGAGGGAAATCGGAAGTCTTTGACCAAGAATAGGGGATTAAATTATAACTCAATACTTGTAACCATTTAAAAATTATATAAATCTGCTATGTACATGGCAGAATTTTACTATATTTTCCTATACTTTATTGTCTAAACTCGAGTTAAAGAAAGAGTCACTATTATAGGTATAAACTGAGACTTCCCTGGGCAAACTAGGACATATGGTCATCCTAACTATGTAGTAATTGAAAAAACAGCATATACAACAATATATGATTCATTTTTAGAAAAAAGTCTAGAGTTATAAAATGTTAATGGTAATGTCTGAGGAAATTGAATGATTTTTTTTAATTTCTGCCATGAACGTGTGTTACTTTGTAATGATAAAAAGTCTTAACCTTTTTAGTAAATTTATCTGGTATTGGAGGCAGTTAGAACCTTTTTTTTTTTTTTGCTGAGGAAGAGCCACCCTGAGCTAATATCTGTTGCTGGTCTTGCTCTTTTTTTTTTTTCCCTTGAGGAAGATTAGCCCTGAGCTAACATCCATGCCAGTCTTCCTCTCTTTTGACTGTGGGTCACTGCCACAGCATGGCTGACAAGTAGTGTAGGTCTGCGCCTCAGATCCAAACCCACAAACCCAAGCCGCCAGAGCAGAGCGCACTAAACTTAAGCACTATGCCACAGGGCCAGCCCCCTTTTTGTTGTTTTTTAGTATTGGCTTTTTACACCATATGAATACTTGAAAGGCATCACTAAAAATTTAGTCATGAGGATTTGGTCTTTTTATTGGTCTCTTTTTTCCTCTTTTTTTGCTTGAGGAAGATTAACCCTGAGCTAACATCTGTGCCAGTCTTCCTCCACTTTGTATGTGGGTTGCTGCCACAGCATGGCTTGACGAGTGGTGTAGGTCCGTGCCCAGGATCTGAACCTGTGAACCCAGGCTGCCAAAGTGGAGCACGCTGGACTTAACCACTATGCCATGGGGCCAGCCCCTGTTGGTCTCTTTTTGTTATTTTACTTCCTCTGCAATATGGTGCTCTCAAAGAGTAAAACAAATCACGAAAGTAATTTATAAGCAGAGAAGAAGGAAGATGCCTGGCAAGATCTTGGTGGTTTGAAACAAATGTTTGTGGGATGACAGTGTGGATATTGGTCTCAGAACTTTCCTTCTCTCAACCCAAACAGAGGCTGAGAAGTGATTGATCAGTAGTGACATGAACTGTAAATTCCTGTTTTTAAAACATAAATAGGGCCGGCCCCGTGGCTTAGCGGTTAAGTGCTCGCGCTCCGCTGCTGGTGGCCCAGGTTTGGATCCCGGGCGCGCACCAACGCACCGCTTCTCCGGCCATGCTGAGGCCGCGTCCCACATGCAGGAACTAGAAGGATGTGCAACTATGACATACAACTATTTACTGGGGCTTTGGGGGAAAAATAAATAAATAAATAGAGATTTCTTCATGCCTTTTTGGCAAAATATTTTTATGAATATCATAATAAAACTATAGTGACTAATTTAAATGCTCTTGTTTGACAAAATAAACAGTTGGCAATTTTACATCAATCCCCTTTTTTGTTTTTTAATTTATTGCTCTCGGAAATTTTAAACAGTTGATCTTTAGAGAGCTCCCTATTAATAAAATATGATCAGTTTGTATTGATTTGCTACTAGTTTTATGTTTCTGTGGTGAAGACTATAAGTGAAGGAATAGTCTAGAATCACTTTGCTATTCCTTATTATAAGTTTTTCTTAAAATTACTCGGTGGGGCCGGCCCCGTGGCCTAGTGGTTAAGCGCGCGCACTCCGTTACTGGCGGCCTGGGTTCGGATCTCGGGCGCGCACCGACGCACCGCTTCTCCAGCCATGCTGAGGCCGCATCCCACATGCAGGAACTAGAAGGGTGTGCAACTATGACATACAACTATCTACTGGGGCTTTGGGGAAAAAAAGGAAGAGGATTGGCAATAGATGTTAGCTCAGAGCCGGTCTTTCTCAGCAAAAAGAGGAGGATTAGCATGGATGTTAGCTCAGGGCTGATCTTCCTCACAAAAAAAAAAACATTACTCGGGGAGTGAGGTTATGTTTTTAGCCAGCAATGTTTTAAATCATGACAATTTCTTAATGGATAATAATTTTTTATGCAATTTTTCTTTAATTATAAAAATAGAAAATTTGAAAATATTAAAATTACCCCATAGTTCCTTGACCCAGAATTAACCACTGTTAATTGTTGTCTTATTTTCTCTGTGTGTGTGTGTGTGCACGCGCGCGCATGCATGCAGGCTTTGTACATTATATATATGTGTATATATGGTATTACAGCTTGCTTTTTTTTTCCCATTCAACTCTTTCTGGGAGAATTTCCCTGTATCTTTAAATTTTCTTCCCAAATATATCTACTAATTGCTTTTATTCCTAGTCTGCCATTAAGATGTACTTGAACCAGCAGAGGTTGGCAAACTTTCTGTAAAGGGCCAGATAGTAAATATTTTAGGTTTTGTGGGCCATGTGGTCTGTATTGCAACTACTCAACTCTGCCATTGAGCACAAAAGTAGGCTTCAGCATTACAGACACAAACGAATGAGCATGACTGTATTCCAGGAATACTTGACTTACCAAACAGAAGCTGAAGACTTCCTAAGCCTATTTTTTGTATCTTGTAGAAAAAAGGCGACAGTTTGAAATGAAAAGGAAGCTTCACTACAATGAAGGACTGAATATTAAGTTAGCTAGACAATTAATTTCAAAAGACCTACATGATGATGAGGAGGAAGATGAAGAAATGTCAGAGGCTGCAGCTGGAGAAAGCATGAATGTGGAAGCATCAAATGAAGGTTAGATGTTTTGAAAATATCTCTGAGACTTGTGATCCTTTGTGCCTAAATAATATACTTTATTTTATTTCAGACTTTTGAAGAATCTCAGAAAATTTTGCTGAGATTCACTTATTATGTCAAAGTTTGTAAAATTTCAACCCTGTGGCCAATTTCAAAATAATAAGATTTTTATGCCCAGAGTTGATTTAAGACCATACATTATGTTGTATGGCTTTTTTTTTTTTTTTTTTTTGGTTTGCTTGGCTTGAATCAATGATGTTTGTCTTCATATTGAGCTATATTTTGTTTTTAATGTTTCAGATCCTTATTATCTGTCATAATCTAAATTAAGGTTTACACTTTTTTAAAGAAACATGTTTTTATTTTTTTTTTTTTTTAAAGATTTTATTTATTTTATTTTTCCCCCCAAAGCCCCAGTGGATAGTTGTGTGTCGTAGCTGCACATCCTTCTAGTTGCTGTATGTGGGACTCGGCCTCAGGATGAACGGAGAAGTGGTGCCTCGATGCGCACCCGGGATCCGAACCCGGGCCACCAGCATCGCAGCGCGCGCACTTAACCACCAAGCCACAGGGCCGGCCCCAGAAACATGTTTTTAGTATGAAAGATTTGTTTTAATATCCCTTCAGGTACAAAATATGTCATATCTTTCCACTGATTCTTTTGACTGTTGGTTTAAGTTATTTGGCTGATTTTTATTTGTTTTGTTTGTTTTGTTTTTTAAGTCTGGAACAACCAGCCCCTGCAGCCTGCTGACTCTTGATCAGTCATAGGACACAGATTTTATTTATTTATTTTTAGTAAACTGTTATTCTGGTATTCAAAAGGTGACTCTTCTACACCACTAATGCAGATTTTGTGCCTGTTTACCTACTCTTTGTATTTGCAAACTTATGCTTTTCGGTGGAAATGTAACTTACTTTATTTGTTGTGCCTTGGATGGTGAAGTTTTAGGAAAGTAAATAATTATTATATTATTGTTTTGGTTAGCATATATGAAATATGAGTGATGCTGTGAAAGAACCTGGTGACCGTGTCTCATTATAATGTCAGGATCACAATATTTTTTGTTATTTCATATTACGCTTTCAGCCTTTTAGTTTGTTTCCTACAGCATTTCATTTCTATTTTGTATACCACAGTCGTTTAGCTTATATTTAACTTGAACGAACTTCATTTTGAATAATTATTGCTATATGTCTCTCTTCCTCTTTAAATTTATTATCCATTTTTAGGTGACTTGTCTCCCAATTGGTCTTTGGTTTCCCGTTTACCTTCCTCTTGGTGATTTCTTTTGATGTATTCAAAGTGAATGTTCTTGGGCCGGCCCCGTGGCTTAGCGGTTAAGTGTGTGCACTCCGCTGCTGGCGGCCCGGGTTCGGATCCCGGGCATGCACCGACGTACCACTTCTCCATCCGCTGCTGGCGGCCCGGGTTCGGATCCCGGGCATGCACCGACGTACCACTTCTCCAGCCATGCTGAGGCCGCGTCCCGCATAATAGCAACTAGAAGGATGTGCAACTATGACATACAACTATCTACTGGGGCTTTGGGGGGAAAAATAAATAAAATTATTTTTAAAAAAAAGTGAATGTTCCTTTGGTTATAACTTTTCATCAATTTCTACTCAGACTTGCAATATCAATTCTTAGTGGCTCTGGCAAAGCGCTAACAATACGCCTCATTTGCCACTGAAATTGGCACCAGCACCACTGTGCCAGAGATTAAAGGGATTTCTTTTTTAAGCCACAGCTTTTGAAAAATAACTCTGGCCTTTCGTCTGTCTCTGCTTGTTAGACGTTAGATTTTATATATTTAGTACATAAATATATTTTTTCATTTAAGTATAATAGTAGATGATTAAAATTTGTATTCGCTTAGTGCCTGATTTTTCTTCAGTGGAAATGAAGTACTCTTTACATAGGAGTATATCCTACTTAGCTTCATAAAGTCCACAAAGATAGAAAAGACTACATAATAAGACATAGGGAAGCAAGTTCCTTATTTATCCTCTACCCTTTTTGGGCCCTTAAAAATTTTTTTACCAGCTCTTAAAATTTCCAGATTCTATGGAACCTATTACTTTTTCAGCATTGTCAGTCTCCTCCCTCTCTCCCACAACCCTGCCTATCGCCACCTGTTGTATGTCAGTTTTTATAAAAAGAAAAGTAGCATGTTTAGACTTTGAGAAAATATTTTACTATTTTGAGATCATAAATGCAAATCTTTTTATAGCTCTGGATATTTGAGTTGTAATAAACTCTTAGCTATTCACCTATGATTTATTCACAGAAATGTTCAATTTCATTTGTCCTGTCACCAAGTAGACACCTGTTCTGCTCCTCACAATATTTAGGGGGTATACAGATTCTGTTCATATCAGACTAATTAACCTAAAAGAAATATACCTTATTTGTTTTTTAGATCTTTATATTTGTTTATCATCCATTGCCATGAACGGGAACTTTAGCTTAGGTAGTTCCAAGGTTGGCAGTACACAACAAACAAATTATGTTGACTTTTTTTCTTTCCTCTTTGTAGGATCTACTACAACTGACCAACTGCAAGATACATCACAGAGTTCATAGAAGAGATTTGTCCAACACTGTAATTGTTTGTCAAATACAAACCCTTGTACTATGATATACTGCTTCTTGTTCTCTACAATTCATGACTTAAGTACCAAATGCATACCAGTTATTATATATTGCCAAGAATTAAGTAACTTTAGAGACTAATTAGACTGAAAATTCTTAATTGATACATATATTCTCGTGCCTAGTACTTCACCACAAGTACAGCATAATGCCATCAGTCCAAAACTGCATCTTTTGTAAGAACACTGGTTAATTTGTATATTATATAGCTTTTTATGCTTTAGAAGTTAAACAATATCTTTTGGGGAGGGGATCTAATTTATTTTCTTCACTTCTAGATATGATGGCTCTTATAAAAAGTTTTTTTTTTTAATCAAAATCCAATTGGAACAATAGACTATATAGACTGATAAATATTCAGTCTGAAAAGTATTTTAACACGTGTCTTCAGCTTGATTTGTCTGTTTAATTGAAAAGGATTATAAGAGTTACTGTAGCATTTTCTGGCCTACTACCTTTAAAATTCCTGTTGAGTTTCTTTACGTTTACAAGGAAAGGATTGAACTTTTTCTCATCATACCTAGTTTTTTTCACAAATAAACTATCAGGTTAAACTTGCACTAATGTCTGCTCTTTTTTTTGTACACTCAATGGGCAGACTTCAGATCAGTTTTTTAAATAAATATAATTCTAATATAGTCTCACCATTCCCTTTATATACCTTAACCTCCTGCCTTTGTTTCTTCCTCCTTTCTACATGTACGCACACAATCCCTTACCTTTACAAAGGATCATAAAGATGTCATGACATTGGGAACTCTTCCTTCTCTCACATATCCTGTCATTTGCTGCAACAATGAAAATCTTGTTTTGACTATCAGTGCCTATTAGCTCTTCTAATACATGGAGAAAACAGATTGAATAGCAGCAGTACAATAGACAGGAAAAATAATGCAACTGTAGAAAAAGAATTTCTACACTTCTCTGATTTACAACTTGCTAATTAAATTGCTATTATTAGTTTATTGTTTGACTTAATTAGACCTTAGAAAACAATTAACTGAGGTTTTTTGCATGATGAGAGAATTGTGTGTAACCAGTGATATGATGATAGTTCCTGAATGTACAGACAGAAATAGTCCTGAACACTTTTTAATTTAAAAACTTTAGTCCCTACTTTAAGGGAATATGATAATGTATACTACGACAAATGTACTTTATTCTTCTAATATAGTAAGATTTGGATTTTTTTCCTGAAATGAAGTGCAGTTCCTGTGTATCTTGGTTTAGTGATGGTTTCATTTTTAGTCAATTATTTGAGTCTTAATTTTTTGTTAGTACCAAAAGAATCCATTATATGAACAGACTTTTTAAATAATTTCTGTATATTGTATATATGAAATGGCTTTTATTGAACAGCTTATCTTCCACTTGCAGGTTTATGAAAATATCAATATGTCAAAATAAAAAGTGGGGGAATTGTTTGCTCTTAGGTGAATGTTTTTATTATCTTGAATGTTTTTTTTTTTTTTAATGGGATCCAGTCAGAGTACTTCTGAACTGCAGGTATAGTATTCTAACTAAAACATATTACCTAGTAATACTGCTGATTTATAAAGAAATCAGTGTTTATCTCTTCTTTCTAAATTTAGAATGTTGGGATATTCTTATCTGTTTAAACCGGTTTTGGGGGATTTAAGCTTATACATATGTTGTGTACATATGTTCATGCACACAGACCTCTTTGGTTTTCTCATTTTGAGTTCTTAGAAAGTGTCCCCATACTCTTTATTTGTAGAAATAGCTGCTGTACAGTGATGAAAAAGTAAGACCTTTAACAACTGATTATTTGGGTGTTTTCTACAAACTGTTTCTTGAAACTTAAATCACAGGCAAACTCTTCATTTCTGGTTTCAGGAAGTGTAGTTAGTTATCTCAGAGGAGTAAGACAAGGCAAATAGCATGCTCAGTAGGACTTGGGGGGGTCCAGTGTAACTGAGTATAACTGTTCACATCCAGGCGTGAGTTCCTGAGTGACATGGTATTGGACTATACAAAAAATGAACCTTTATGATTCAAGTTAGATTTTCCTTTGGAGAAAGTTATCTGTCAGTGTTCACTTCTAGCCAAGGTAGATTTTTACATTCAGCTTTTTAATAAGTATCACTTCCTCTGCTTAACTCTTTTGGTGTCATCTATTCTGTTTATTCCTTTTTCAGTCTGAAATTCAGCAGTGATGCTCTTTAAAATCGGAGACATATAAATGGATTGTTAAAATAAGAATAACTTTAAATTGAAAATTAAAGCAAAGTGCCATTTTTCCCTTTCATTTTGTTTACATTTTTTCCCTTTAAATTAGTATACTAAACATATAATAAAATACAGTAATATGACAATTGCCTGTGTGTGGATTTTATTTTCTTACTACCCAGCTATCTCAGGACCATGTTCTGGATACCAGGAGAGGATCTTGGTCTACTTGTCGCCAAGTAGTTTGTTTCATTGTGAGAGAAATGATAACAAGAGCTATAGTTTATTGAGAACCTATTATTTGCTGTTCCCCAGCATGGTGCTCGGTCTCAAATGTATAATCCTCAAAACAACCACGCAAAGCAGCTGCTCTTAGCACTTTGTAAGTGAGGAGAATGCTCTTAGACAAGTTATTCAGTCTCAATTTCTCATACAAGCTAAATGACGGGATTCAAATCGAGATCTAACTAAATTTCATGCTCTTTATCCATGCTTTTTTTGTGTGTGTGTGAGGAAGATTAGCCCTGAGCTAACATCCATTGCCAGTCCTCCTCTTTTGGCCGAGGAAGACTGGCCCTGGGCTAACATCTGTGCCCATCTTCCTCCACTTTATATGGGACACCGCCACAGCATGGCTTGACAAGCGGTGCGTGGGTGCGCACCCGGGATCCGAACCCCAGGCCGCCACAGTGGAGCACGCGCACTTAACCGCTACGCCGCCGGGCCGGCCCCATCCATGCTTTTTTAGATGTAGAAAATTCTCTCATTTTAGAAGTTGCACCTTACAAATAAATTTTATTTGGGTTATTGATAGACATCGTGTGCTTTAGGAATAAC